AAGTTGGGGACTAGCCAAGTGACTTTGTAGTATTTGTCCTTGAAATTATGGCCTAAACTTAACCTGGTAAACATACAACATTTCGGTGTCTGCCATCTTGGGGCTGGTAGAGTACCCATTTAACTCAAAAAGCTTTTCCTTGTTTTCGTGATTTTTAATGTTTATACATTTTGTCCATGGGCACCGGCCCACGCTAGAATTGTTAGCTTGGCTTAAAATAGCTCTCTCCTGAGGATTAACCCTTTCCATGGGATTTTTATTTTTTATTAAATAATCGTATTTGCTACGCCGATTTTATGCATTTGTACCCCCACAACTAATCGATCGACTAACGAAAAACTAATGATCCTCTGCTGCCCACCGACGGCTCGTTGGAAAGCTTATTTAAAGAGCTTGCAATTGGCGATTAAAAAAAGTGGTGGTCTGAGTCACAAACTGGATAGAAAAAAGGGCATTTCTTTTTCTTGGGAGTTGAAACTTCACACCGTGATAAAAAATAGAAATATTCGCTAAATCCTTTACTGTTAAATCCTTTATCCGCTTCGTGGTTGGCAAACAATAGCATAATATGGCTGTAGCAATTTTGTGATCTAACTCAAAATACTTTGGTTGATGGAAGAGATAATATGTCTTCTATTACCACCCAAAAAACACCGAAATTTGCATAAATTTCAAAAACACTCCCTCGTTCCGCGCAAATAAAATTCCCGTCGTAAACGAAAGCGAGATTTGCCATCACTTATGTTAATCTCGAAGAAGACTTCTTATCAATAAACTAAAACCTGGAAAAACTAGACGAACAGTTTGCGACCGATTGCTAAATAAAACAGTGGAGTACATCAACGTACCCGCTGCAATCTAGCGACTTTTGTCGTTGGTAAGTATACGTGCCCACCGCACGGAAAGGGTTAAGGAGAAATTCAGGTACTGTACTTAGACGTAACAGTGCGGGTCCATAACTCTATTCAAAGATGAGTCTTCCTTAACTTTGAGTGAGTACTTGGACTTTACTCAGAAATGAGTCTTTTTTCACAACTGAGTGAGTGCCTGTGACTTTACTCAGAGATGATTCTCCTCTACATCTGAGAGAGTGCTTGTGACTCTACTCCAGAGATGAGTCTTCTTTAAATCTGAGTGAGTATCCATAACTTTACTCAGAGATAAGTCTTCCTTTTCTTTGAGTGAGTGCCCGTGACTTTATCAAAAAAAGAGTCTTCTTTACATCTGAGTGAGTGTCCATAACTTTACTCAAAGATGAGTCTTCTTTACATCTGACTAAATGAGTAGGTACTCATTTTAAATAGTATAGGGACTTGAAAAAGCTCTCTACTGGTTAACCACTTGTACCTATATTTCAACATTTTTATGGGGTGACTCAAATTATTCTTCGCAAACATGGTTCCTGATACACAAAACTATTTTGGACGTGTGAGGTTCATACTGGTTCGGCTTTGAGTGAGTGCCCATAATTTACTCAGATATGAGTCTTTTATATCTGAGTGAGTACCCATGACTTTACTCAGAGATGAGTCTTCCTTATCTTTGAGTGAGTGCTTGTGACATTACTAGGAGATGATTCTTTTCTACATCTGAGTGAGGACTTATGACTCTACTCAGAGATAAGTCTTATTTACATCTGAGTGAGTACCCATAACTTTACTCAGAGATGAGTCTTCCTTACCTTTGAGTGAGTGCCTGTGACTTTATTCAGAAGTGGGTCTATTTTCATATCTGAGTGAGTGCCTGTGAATTTACTAATAGATGATTCTTCTTTGCATCTGAGTGAGTGTCCATGACTTCACTCAGAGATGAGTCTTCTTTACATCTTAGTGAGTGTCAATGACTTTACCCAGTGATGAGTCTTCTTTAAATCTAAGTGAGTGCCCGTGACTCTACTCAGAGATGAGTCTCCTTTACTTCTGAGTAAGTGCCTGTGACTTTACTCAAATATGAGTCCCCTTTACTTCTGAGTGAGCGCCTGTAACTTTGCTCAGAGATGAGACTTCTTTACATCTGAGTGAGTGTCCATGGCTTCACTCAGAGATGAGTCTTCTTTACATCTGAGTGAGTGTCAATGACTTTACCCAGTGATGAGTCTTCTTTAAATCTAAGTGAGTGCCCGTGACTCTACTCAGAGATGAGTCTCCTTTACTTCTGAGTAAGTGCCTGTGACTTTACTCAAATATGAGTCTCCTTTACTTCTGAGTGAGCGCCTGTAACTTTGCTCAGAGATGAGACTTCTTTAGTTCTGAGTGAGTGCCTGTAACTTTCCTCGAAGATGAGTCTTTTTTACTTGTGAGTGAGCGCCTATAACTTTGCTCAGGGATGAGACTTCTTTACTTCTGAGTGAGTGCGAGCAACTTTACTCAGAGATGAGACCCTTTACCTCTGACTGCCCATGACATTACTCAGATATGGAATCTTTTTCATATCAGAGTGATTGTCCATAACTTTACCCACAGATGAGTCTTCTTTCCGAGTGAGTGTCACGAGCTTTACTCAGAGATGATTCTCGGGTTAAGTGATGGGTGTAAGGTTTAACAGAGTTTACTCTAACTAAATTATAGGCGTATGGGTTTCTCACAAGCCAGAAATTGAAATAAGTCAAAACTTTCCATTAACTGAAAAGCTTGATTTGTACTAACTGAAAGAAAAGAAAGCTCGCATGCGCGAGTTTTTTTTATGAAACTGATTTTTTTGTTTGGAGCTAGAGTCAGTTGTAAATTGACATGATACGTGGATTTAGGTGTTCACCTTAAGAAGATTAGGTGTGCATGCTTTCCTCACTAGCTAAATAATGAACTGCAAAATTGTGGCTCAATTTAGGAAAACAATGGTTGCTAGTGTTCACTCTAAAAAATTCCTGGGGCGTTCACAAAAAATATGGTGTTCACTCTAAAAAAATATTGAGAGTGTATGTGCATCGCAAGTTGCGTAAAATTTAAAAAAAATTTAGTTTTCAGTGCTTCCTCAGAGAAAATTATGAATGTACGTACCCCGAAACCAAACAACAAACTGAAATTCTGGATTCTAGTTAAATTTAAGAATAAATCTTGTTTCTGGTGTTCACTCTAAAAAATTAAAAGGCCAAAATATAAACTGATATTTTGGTTGAACTTGAACATTGCCAAATTTGAGGCACACAAATCGCCAACATCTTTTTTTTGGACATCAAATGTCGATTTTGGAGCTATATTTTTACAATGCAATTCCGGTGCAACTCTTTTTCTATCTAGTGAGTTGTTGATAAAAATGTTTCTTGAAAACGTTCAGTGAACCGTCTGATTGATGGAGACTATGTTTTCAGTAGTTTATGTGACTGGAAGACTCATCACAATAAAAATGTCACATACAATTGCATATATTTCAAATTCGATTCACACAGAATATTCGATTGATTCTGAAATCATCAGGTAGTCCTATTCAAAAATACCCAGCCCTAGGAGTAATTTTTGTGCCATCTTTGCAAGACGAACAGACTGTAGCTCGGGAAATATAGATAGAACCATAGTGATTTCAAGTCAGCTTCCGATCCCTGTATCAAAACTTTGAAATTAACACTGGAATTCCCTGGGCAGAATAGCTCGCACTATTCTGATGTAAAATATAATTTTGCAGAAGCAGAAAGGAAACTCGAGATCATTGTGATTTCATGATCATAGCTGGCTCTGAAGAAATTCCAGTTCATAGGAATATTATATCTGTAGGATCTGATTATTTCAAAGCAATGCTGGCTCATAATGTAAGTTGTATTTATTCATGTTTATGTGATATCTCAGCAATAAACTGTTTGAGTTAACTCTCTCACAGTTAGTACTGTTAACCTTGTTAATGTAGTTTTAATCATTGCTATTATCACACTTCAGAATGCTGAGACAGCGTCTGGTAAAGTGGAAATGAAAGAAGTTGATCCATTATCACTGCAACAATGCATAGAATATATTTACACTGGGGAATTGTCTACTACTGATGAAAATGTTGAAACTTTGATGTATGTGGCTGAATTACTGCAGTTGAAAGGTGATGATATAAAGTAGATCCTTCTTCTGGACTGTACAGAGATTCACTCAATCCTCTGTGATTGAAAATACCTGGACAATCTCCCACAAATAAAGCTATTTGGTTTGCTTGGGCCTGAATTTCTATAGTTGTCCTGGTCAGTTTCTCACTGAAAGGAAGATTTAGTAATCCAGGATGCTTCGAGGCTCAAAAGTTATGTTCTCTCTAAAAATATGTCTTAATTTAATATGGGTTCTGTTTTGAAAATTTGTAAGAGGTGTGAGGACTGGGAATTTGTGTTGAACAAATCAAAATGGATGTGTGCTTGCCCATAGATAAATGTATATCTACATATAATATATATGTTTGTTTTATGATAACAGATGTCTGTGAAGGCATCGTTGATTCACTTGAAGAAAATCTCGAATCATCTGCAGAATTATTTTTTTGTGACAAAAAGAATCGCAAACCTGTACAATTACAAAGAATTGACGGAAAATACGAGAAGTTCATGCTGGATAAATTTGAAGAAATTGCAGTTCTTGATGAGTTTAAAGAAATAGAGGAAAAGGAATTTGTTAGATTGATCAAGTCACAAGAAAACAAGGTATCTGTAATGTTTTGTTAGGTTTGTTTCAAATCTTTATTCCGAACAAAACTGCATACAAGTAGCCACTCTTTTTGCGGGGTATTGGGTTCAAGCTGACCAAAATAAACTTACCATGATTAAATACAGCCACTCATTTGTGCATAACCTACCCTACGTCTCACTTCGCTTAAGATGATATGATAGAGATGAACAAATAGATTCCGACTCTTGATGCTAAAATAACTGTTTCAGCTTGTTAACCACGGACTTGTTTATTACATCAATATTCAAGCAATGAATTTAAGCACCCCGCTTTCTCAGTTTACAGCATGAGTGCTAAGCATTTGTCTCTAAATGTAAGATATTATTTTATATTTACATATTCTGTATTCTTTCTAGGCATCAGAGAGTGTCAAGCTCGAGGCTTTGATGTCTTGGATAAAATATGAGCAAAGAAATCGCAAAAAACTTCTGAAGAAATTGAACAACTACATTGATTTGCATAAAGTACCGGTGACTTATAGAAGATTCCTTGTTGAAAACGAGGTAGGGTATATTCAAATTGATGATATTGAACCATTCATTTCACAACAGATAAGTGAATTCAAGTATATTATTAGGATTTTATTTGACTAAGTTCGCAGGTGGAGACAAGACTAAATTTTCTTTAACCCAGAATCGGAGCAGTTTTTAAATGGGTTTAGGATCGAGTGTAGACTTTAAATTCCTACCATTGATTCATTGACATTATTCTATATTTCTGCGAAAACTAATTTTTCTTATATCATTCAATATTCATTGGATTAACTCATTTTGATTATTTCAGCCAATGGTGAAGTCATGCTTCGAATGCTATCAAGCTCTATGCATTTCTATGTTGGACAGCCTTAACGTGGGTGCTTCAAATGTTCATTCTGCGGAGGATATAAAACAAGAAGGAAAGGAAGCAAGTGAGTTGAATTTAGTCGTAGAGGATATAAAAAACCTTTCGTCATTTAAAACTTAGAAACTTACCCAACTGTAGATTGGTTGCAACTCGAACGATGCTATAGTCGGCTGTCTTTTCTTTTCTGATACAATGTTTATTTCGTACAGTTGCTGTGTTCGATGAAAACTCAAAGAGCCTTCAATGCTTTAATCCTCATAATAATACTTGGACAAAAATGCAGGTTCGTATTTGACAACCTTCAACTCCGGTATATTGGTCTAGTCGTACTACTATTTTCTATATTAGTCTCCATTATTACTCCAGATGGTAAAAACTAATTCTCATATTTTTTGTTTTTCTGTGATTGGATTGCAAGATGTGGTTGTGGTAGTTCCACTTTGACATGTAGTACTGATGTGTCACTTATTTTATTTCAACGAGAGATTTTGTTTGGCCATTTTATCGCTTTCCTCATTCGTTTTCCCCCTTTTATGATGGATTCAAACTCAGCTATCTGACTTGTACAATTTCACTTTGGTACTTAATTGAAGTATGTAATATAGAATTTAGATATTTATTCCAGGGGGGGAGCCAATAAGACGGCTTAATCATATGGCTGACCACGGCCTCTCATCTGTTTACCAGTCCATGTCAGGTATGGGATTAGTTTTTTGCAAGCATTGACTTGGTGGTGGAGGAAGCCGTAACCGACCAGTGGTTACGTGAACCATCCTACGGTGGCGATGAGTACAGCAATCCTCTCGCACATAACCATCCCGGCATGGAGTTCGAACCTGCGAACCCACGCAGGGTAATCTCAGGTGTGGTAGCGAGCGTATTCCTACCGCTTAGCATTATGTGCCATGCCATGTGGACAAGGCCTTTTTAGGACAATTATTTGAGGGGTATTTGATTCTCTCATCCCACCACTCCCACGCATCTATCTACATTTAAACAAACATTTCTTCAATGTAATCTTGTTTATTAATATTTTCCAGAACATGCCTGGATCAGGAACTGACTTTTCTGCTGTGGCTCTTGGTGAGTACATTTATGTTCTCATGAAAGATCGATCTGTTCATCGACTGAAATACTCAGATCATGAAGCTACTTGGGAGAGAATGAATGATATGATGTATAGCCATGGAGATTGTCCTCCTGTTGCTGTTTTGCCTGGTAAGAATTGTTTCAACAATTCTTTTGCTAAACAATATCTTGTTACCATTGCCTTAAGACTAGTAATTGAGTTTTTCAAATATCCTGTTGCTGTTTTTTTTGGAGTGAAGTTACCTCAAGAATTCTTAGTACTGGTCTGTTTAAGGATTTAATGAAAAACAATTTTAATAGCATTTGGTATCTAATTCCAGTTCAGCCTTGTATTGTAACTATATCACTTCATTGTGGGTGACCAAAATTTTGTGTGCAAAATACTGATAATTTTTTTCTGATTTGTAAAACTTGTCTTAATCAAAGTGTACAAATACAAATATATTTTCATATTAACACCATTGAAGAATTATAACACAATCTATCTTGTAAGAAATAGTAGTTGTTCGTAAGATCATATATTTGAGTTCAGACAAGACAAGATATAAATGCCAAGACAAAAATTGCCAAAATAATTAGGATTGAGTTACTTGCTAAAACACGCAGATCCGGACTTTAAAGACCAAAGGACTTGAGTTTATTATACAATACACTAACACTCCTGTTTTAAGATTACTAGTTACATGTTTGAATATATCCCATAAAGATTATTTTTTAAGTGAATGTTTTGTCATTGTGTTATCTATTATTATGACATCATATGTTCTTTACTTTATCTTCTATTATTTTACAAGTATCATTTGCTTTCCATCATTGGTCTGAAATACAAATTGTTTACAGGAAACCTCTACGTTGTTGGTTTTGGGGATTACTCAAATTCAGTTGAAAAGTTCGAGCCATCAAGTAACAAATGGGAAAAAGTAAAAGACAAAAATCTCAACAGTTATTATTCAACAGCACTGGGTGCTGAAGGTTAGAAGGTGTTGTCTAATAAATAAATGGGTCTCCCAAAATATGTGAATCAAGATAGCGGACACCGGAACGTAGTATGTGTACCAGGTTCAGTTAGGCCATAATTTCAGGTACAAATACTTGGATAGTCCTCGAACTCGTAATAGAACTAAAATAGGGAAAATTGGAATAAATTATGGCCTAACCGTAACCTGGTACACATACTAAGTTCCAGTGTCTGCCATCGTAGTTCACATACTTCGGGAGCGCCAAAAAAATGTCATATACATTGAACTGGCTCGAAACAGGCAGTCATACAACAGGGTTATAAATGGAATTGTCGCTGGACCATATAACCAACTTAAGAAATCTAGCTGGACCAATAAATGCTCTGCTTTACAGTAATAAAGGCATCGGACAAAATGGCGAAGTATTTAACGCATTAAAAAGAACATAAAAACATGTAATTTTACCCATGTGGGCGACTATTTAAACAGGAACTGTTGGATTAACTCTTTAAGCTTGATGGGGAAAAATGGGCAAAAAAGTGTTGACAAGAGCCACACTAGATAGCTTTGCGGGCACTAAATAGCTTTTCCTGTTGCAAACCGCTGGTCTAAACCAAACAGGAAAAATACCATCTTTAACAGACCGGTAGGTTGTTTCGTATCAGTGGTTGCTTTTACAAAGTGTTTTTTTTTAAGCAAACTTGCTATACACTTTGGTAACTAAAAAATGACTGCCAACATATATCGGATTTATCAGTTTGTCCTAAGTTTTCATCGAATACCAGAATGCAGAAAACACTTGAAAGTAATAATCCTTGTTTAATTCCAGGTTGTATATACAGCATTGGTGGCTATGTATCAGGTCATCACACCAACCAAGTAGAAAGATTTGACCCAACATCATCAACTTGGTCATTTGTTGCATCCATGAATGAAGCAAAGGAATTTGTCGCAGCTGTTGAAAATGAAGGAAAAATATATGTTCTAGGTAGGTTTGTTGCTAAAAATGTACGAGGACTCAAGAAAAAAATATATTTTGAGGTGCCCATAATAACATTTAGTTTTGACCGTGCTCCAAGATATCAAATGCAATGCCATTATGTTTAAGCATCGTCATGAACTACTAATATTCCATTCATGTTATTCTGCAAGATCGCAGAATTATATTGTTATGTGGCAAATCATGTTCAAATGTTTGTATAATTATATATTTACACGAATGCAAAGGTCAATCCGTTTGCCGGGCAACTTGTAAACTCATAAATACTTACGGTACTGTTGCGTCCTTCTTACTGGGAATATTAATTAGTTAGTGGTTGGAATTCCGGGTGATATTCAGACATACCAGGTTCCAAAATCTTCAGTTCAGGCTAGTTAAATTTTCCACATTATATTTATCACCTTGCAGTTGTTACCTGCCATCTTGTTAGTTCATTATTCGCTTTTTATTTACTTATTGCTTTGTCTTGTATAGGTGAAATTGTCAATATATGGATAAACATTGTTTTGTATCATTTAGGCAAAATTGCAAGCAGACATTAACAAACTGTTTATTTCATTCAGGTGGACAAACAAACGATTACTTGTCAACAGTTGAACGATATGATATTTCAACGAACGTGTGGTCCACGGTAACTCCCATGTTAACTAAACGTAGCTTTTTCAATGCTTTTGTGATTGATTCAAATATTTATGCAGTGGGAGGAAGGAACAGGTAGAGTTATTGAAATTTATCGCAACATAGTGAACACTAGTGTCTTCCTATATCCATCACAGCACGCGTGTGGCCAATGTAACCAGAGTCTATATTTGTAATGTCGACAGACATCTTTCAATGTTTTTGAAAAAGTATTCTTAACCTTGGCTGGATAAAAGAAGCATTATTCTCATATTGCTGACTGGGAATTTTTAATCAGAGTCTTTGAACTGCGGTATATCGTCATTTGTACTATTTTTTTTTAGTTAGTATAGAAGTTAATATTTATAGAAGTTAAATAGTTAATATAGAAATTAAAAATCTTTCAAATGAGTATTCTAATAACCATTTCACAAATTATTTGTCCCGTAGAACTGAAATATCTCTGTTTTTTCAGTTCACCAGGAAGCATGGAGAAGTTTGATTTCAAGAAGAATCAATGGGAGATGATTGACATGAAGAACATGAATCTGGCGATACTCGAAGCAGTGAAGATTAATTTGAAGTGATTTAATTGTATATGACAGTGAATAGTCAGTTACCATTAAAGGACATGCTAGTAGATTATGTTTGCAATCTTACTATAAATTGTATATTATACTTGACATTTCATAGGTGCTTGTGGTACCACTGAGTAAATTTTGTATACTTCTATAATGAGCCTCTGCATTACTTACTGTAATTAATTCATATAGTTGTCTTGAATATAATTCACATATGGCATTGGGATTTGCTTAGAACTGATGCAGGAGAAATTTATTTTGAATGGTTTGGTTTTATTCAACACCCTATAATCGTTTGTATCATTTCTGAAAGAATTCTAATCATAACACTGATATGTAGTCAGAAAATTTACGCCCTGGTGAAAAATCTAGTCTTGCTTGATGAACATTTCGGCTGCTTTTCTCAACGGATAAAAAACAGAGTTTATAAACCTTACATCAGCCACGACTCCACAGCCCTGATTAAGCTTGCTTATCATTTAAAGTTAATTTTTGGCAAATTGGAGTGGGATTCTATATCCTTGTTATGTGAAATTTGTCACCAATCTCATAGAAGCGAGTGTTATATACAATTGATTTAATAATTCCATTCAGTTTTTAATGCCATTCGATATTATCTGGGTATGATATATGGTCTTGTGCATTCTTCATGCGGTTTCTTATTCAATTACATTCACTTATCATTTCTTAATCAAAATCCGTAAATGAATTGCAATTTATAAATTAGCAGATGCCTTTTCCGCACAATATAATATATTCAATATAGTTTTGGCCCGGCCAATATATATGGCCCGGCGGAAGCATTTCGAGTCGCCCGCGCTGAATTTCAGAGTTGAATAAAAAAAATTGAGTGAAACAATTTTTCGAGTGATGTAGTAGGCCTATTATTTCCCTGAAATGAGCTCTGCCAGCCCTTACAAACGAGCCATGAATGTCATTTTGAATCGAAACCAACTGAGAGGAGATATCGATACATAAAGGTGCCACCATTGCTATCCATGGTCTTTCACTACTCTATATGATTTTATCGCAAAACAATCGAGGCCATTCTCAGATAGAGAATTCGTTAAGAAATGTATATTATGTATTGTTCGGATTGCCAATGTTTTACGTCCGGAAATAAAAGAGGTGTTTGCAAAAATAACCTTGTCACGACAGACAATAATTCGTCGTGTTAAGGAGCTTGGGAACTCTATTGCGGAAATTTTAATTACAAAAGCGCGAAAATTTTCATCCTTGGCGACTTGCGGGGAGTTAGTGGTCATATGAAATTACCGCGGAGCTCTATTAAGAGTACGACTAGAGGCATTAGTCTGTTAAAAGCTGCGATAAAATGATCAAGCGTCTTGTCTTCGGCGAAACTTTCAGGAAGAACCCCTGGAGGCGCCGCGTCAATGTTTGGGAAACAGTTTTATTGTTCTAATAATTGTGAAAGTTTGATGTGAGTGTATTGTTTGTTTTTCCATTAATCTGTAGTCAGTGTAGCAATACTAGAATATAGATTAACCAAACTCATAACTACCATGTCAAGTGGCCCGCGCAATTATTAGTGAACCACATATGGCCCTTCGGCCAAAAAGGTTGGCCGACCATGCTTTAAACAAACCTTTTTCAGTGCTATCTGCAAAATACTTATACAATAAATTGCATTCATCTTTGTATGTATGTTGTCGTTATTAAAGTTTATTTCTGCTTCCAATATATTCGATGATGATTAATTTTTTTTTCATCTTTGCAGTATATTTTATCGCATATATGCAATCAATACTTTACTACCATGCATCTAACGCTAAATTCAATTCTTCACTTTTTATCTGATTTGAAAATCCACTGCATGATCCGCCTCTCTGTCTTTTTAATCACATAGTTTGAATTGATTACGTTTGATGCATTCCAAATGTTTAAACTTCACATTGTGACAAACCTTTATTAAATAAACTAAGAATTAATTAATTTGTCCATTTCTCAAATTCCACGTCAATTTGGAGGATTGCTTTGGTTTGCAGCGAAAATTTGCTTCTTTAGTTTCAAGTGGGAATTTATTGCTGTTGAACCTGGAAAAGGCGATTGCACTTTAAAATGTACGTTATTGTGACAAAAAATAAAAACATATTCATGGAGAAGGGGAATTCTAGATCAAAAATTTTACTAATAACATTTCTGAAATTAAAATAAGTTTGTAATATTTTTCAATTTTAAATTATATTTATCCCATTTCATGAGATATGTACATGTGGTAGACGGTTTCATGCCTCGATTTCTAGTCCGATGATTGCATGATCTTTACAAGCTCGCAAATTAAAATAAAAGTGTAGCCTAGTCGTCTATTTTATTCTCGGGGGGCGTTATTCGAAACTTCACTGAAACTACCAAATAAACTCGATTTTATAAAAACAAGCAATTGTCTATACCCAAGCTTGAAAATCTGTCCCAATGTAAAATGCGACTGTTCAATTTCGACTATTACATCGCCGGAATCTTATTGACTATAGCTAATGAGTTCGATAAAAAGGAAGTCGATCTAGAAAACAAGCTGCCGCAATAACATACGTAATATAGCAGGGATACGGCCTGTAATAAAATGTTGGATCATTTCCTAATCAGATATCGGGACTTCTTATGAATATTGTCAATGAAATGAATAAAATATATGCGATATATATACAAGTAATCGCTGTTAATTTGAAAAACCATGTGACTCCTATTTACATGGAGAAAGAAGTTCACATACGTCCGTCTTTTGGTTTGTTTACGTCAGAATTTTAAAACTATTTCGTTTACGTCCGCTTCTTATTGGCCCATGTCTGAGCAAAGTACTGGCCATCATTGAAACCCTATACAATCATGGCGGAACGTTGTGCGCCAGTAAACATCTATGAGGTACCGTGCAACTGAAGTTTTAAAAAACTTCTGTCATAAAAATTTCTTTTTATTGGGCTACGCTAAAATACTTCATGATGCAAAGACGTAACAGTGATATTTTACAAATCAAGTGTGAACTCAAGCGACAAATATCAACGAGAACGGTGAAGAGACCGAACTTTCATTGATACGTTCCGAGTCATTGACATAAATAATAAGTCAAAATTTTATCAAAGTATTGTTTGGTTGCCGCATACCTGCCAATAGTGCGCAAACAAAGGTCACCGTCGACCATATTTGCATAAAAATTGGTCAAAAATGATTTTTGCAGGCCACAACAAGGAAGTATAAACAAAGATGATTACGGCAGTTCGACCGAGAAGAGAAAATATTTAGGGTGATCGCACGCTTTTCTTCCACTAGGATAGGATGGGATTGACATATTTATTTGGGGGGGGGGGGCGGAAAGCCGATAATAGGGCTTAACCATATGGCGAACCACGCCTCTCCTACGGTTTCTATTCCCTGTCGGGCAGTGGCGTAGCAAGACCCCCCCATAACATATCGCTGTTAAAAGGCAATGGTAACCTAGAATTTGCCGTTTATCTTGGTTACTTTAATTTTGATCATACGTGCTTCCTCTTCTGCCCTTTTTCTGCGTTTCTGTGCGCCACTAAGAGGTTTTGCTTTCGACATCATTCTGACAGCCTTCGTAATTTTGCCGCCGGTGCGATCAAACCACATGACCTCGAAAATCGACGACTCCCGGGCATTGTTACGTAAACAAGAGAGCAATGCTCAAATATACGGACACGAAAACTATTTGCAATAATTGCATCACGCTGTTAAACCGGCAAATATTTTTTGCATTGATGAAACCGCAACCACCATATTTCATAACATGTTGAATACTATTGGAAAGATTGTAATGCTTCTTTATTAGCATATTGATGTTGTTTACCGCAGAACTGTAATGAAAAAGGCTAAAAGATGAGCATAAACATTGCAGCTGTGCAAGCGTACAAAAAAATGGAATAAGTTAATTTGACTGCAAATACAGTAAGAGTAAACATGTAAATAAACTTGATATGATTTGGCACATACGGTACCGTAAAAGCGCCTAACTTCGGACAGTTCCTAACTTCGGACAAAATTTTTGAACGGCCATATCTTGGCTAAAACGCGCCGTATATTGCTAATTTTATTTATTATAGGTTGCGCTGTTATATCTACATCTATTCTCATCTTTTTTAATGTTGCATAAATATTTTTTTGGTGAAAAAACGGAAATTTTGCCGAAAATTGACTGCCCGGCATTCAACGGCGCAGAGCGTCGCTCCTACTGAAGCTATCATCGTCAAAATACCATCATTCGGTAGAGGGCGACAACAATGTATATAATTTATTTGAGTGATCGCAAGATGTCGTACGAGATTTAAATAAAACCTAAAATTCTGAATTATAAATTCCGTAAGAATATTAAGATTTCACGCAGCGTCAAAAATTACGTCAACCTCACGTAGATTATTTTTCGCTCACTTCCGACACGACGTCACACTGCGTCTCGGAAATGAATTTTGACGCCAGACACAACGGAGCCAATATGACAATTTCCGTTAAGATAAAGACGGCGTACCAATGTAATATTTTTGTATTTTGTTCGGTCATGTATGAATATATGCCAAAATAACATTAATGAAAATACATGTCACACTTAATCGATGACGTTAAAAATCGAATATATAAAACTATGATAATTCCAACGTCCATATGGCACAGTGCACTGACTTAACCATTATTTTATGATTAGTAGTCGAAATGACAGTTATTGAATACGGCCTGGGTGAATTTTATTCACTCGAAATTAAAAATAAATTTGATCTCCAACAAATAAACGGGACCTACATGTTTACAAGATTAAGTTGAATTTTAAATTAAACTTTACAATCGGATTTACCGTGTGTTTGATATAAATTATCATTTATAAAGATAACCGCGCAGAATAAAAAAAAGCTATCCGTCGAGAATATTAATACTTCAAAGACTTCGATAGAAGCCCGTTAAAATACTTCATTGTGGATTGAAACGGTTTGCATCAGATATATTTACGTATGCATTTCCTAATTAAAATGACTAACGTGTTATTATACTCATCTGAAGTTTCGAAAATAACGAACGAAAGATGTAAACATAGGACGACGGAAGTTTCAAATAATGCATTTTCGTCGTGACGTCAATGTTACGTTACGACGACGATCGAGCGTCTTATCTTCACGCAACGACGTGATTACGTCATCCGCATCGGAAGCCTCTTTCTCTCTGTGCGTCGCGGTTACGCAGTGAAGAAAATGACTGTCCGAAGTTAGGGCAGTGAAGGATAACGGTCAGATGGCAAGAAATATCGATTAT